TGGAATGGCGATTTAAACACCTGCAAAAACTATGTAAGTATGCACTCTGCCACATGTATTACAGTAGCTCCCAGAGGCTCCAGTTAGAATCAGGCCTCCTTGTATTGGTGTTATACGAACATGGAGAGGCTGTCTCGCGTGATGAGGTTACAATGCAAATGGCAGAACAAACGCTGGAGGATCTGGAAGGGAGAGATGAGGGAACTGTGACTGCACAGACTAGCTGCGGGCTGGTCTCAAATCCTTCATTCTTGCTTCACTCAATTTTTCTAATTTTAGCCATCTTCTTTTAGCAGTTTATTGAAAGCAACAGTGTGTAGACTGCCTGAAGGAGGGAGCTGAACGACTACCAGATAGTGGCTGTGTGTATTTCAAGGATCACGTTCTATAGGGGAAGATCAGCATGGAAGAAAACGGGGATGCCCTGGTGTCAGCAGTGGGAGTTTGGAAATGGGTGCCTTGCACCTCTGACTAGGTGTTTATGATCTCGTGTTGTCTGCGTCTAATTTTTCACTCTACTTTCTAATTTCAGATTGAGAGTCTCCCACCTGAACTGTTCCAGTGCAAGAAGCTGCGAACCTTGAACCTGGGGAACAATGTGTTGCAATCGCTGCCTTCTCGGGTGGGTGAGCTGACAAACTTGTCACAGATAGAGCTGCGAGGCAACCGTCTGGAGTGCCTGCCAGTGGAGCTGGGAGAGTGTCCTCTGCTGAAGCGCAGTGGGCTTGTGGTAGAGGAGGACCTATTCAACACCCTACCCCTGGAGGTTAAGGAGCGGCTGTGGAGGGCAGACAAGGAGCAAGCGTGAGCCTTGGAAAGGAAAGGAGGGGGAGACCTCTGACCAAGAAGACCGGAAACAAAAGGCCATTCCATTCCAGCCCTTTTCCCAAAATCCCCCAGCCAATATCATACTAGCCGTGGAGTCCCTGAATAACTATCATGACTCTGAATGAGGCCACTTGCTGCCTCGGCTGCAGGATGGGGGAAGTTCAGGATCCTGGTGAGGACCAAGGCAGAGTGAGCAGCTCCTCTGTATTGGACAGTGGGGAAAAGAGGTGCTGCTGTTCTGCAGGACAGGAAGTGTGGGTAATGCTAGTGCTGCCATGGAGTTGCTCAGAACTGCTGGTGGAACCAACTTCCAAGTCTAAAGGGGAATTGCTTCTGAATGGAGGAGAGAAATTAACTGATTGCTGGGTTGCCCTCAATAGGGCACTGACACGCATGTCAGGAACTGAGGACATCCAAGTGCTCTACAATCAAAGGATAACGGTCCAGGAAGTCTCTTGAACCTCCAGTGCTACTTTGCTGTGACACTTGGTACAGTTCCACACTAACTTGCTGATTCAATCAGTTGGGGCTTCATTAGCGGGGAGGGAAGGGGACAGCTGGCTTTTTTTTTTTTTTTTTAATTTAGATGCTGGCATTATTTTTGGTAACTTTACCTCAAAGGTCAACTTGGATTCAGGATTTTTTTTATACATTATGTTCATCTTTCACCTAGTTTCCAACGCTGATGTGAGGCTGCACTGTCTTTCCAGCTCCCAGTCCTTTGTCCTGACAAGTAGATCACACTGTCTCCTTTCCTAGATGGTTTTGCAGGAGATGCTGCTTGGATTGGCAGTTCCAAAGTGCTATCCAGATTGGGTTGTGTATACTCTGAGTTCTGGTTATGTGGCATAAATGGGACGGCAAGGATGCAGTTCAGTTCAATTCATAAAAGGCTGGAAAATGCATAAAAAGCAGTACAACTGTCTAACTCTGCTCGAAGCACTGAGTTACTTCAAGACCTTTTGCTTTTAAAGCTTTTTTTTTTTTTTTTGGTTTTGTTTTTTTAATCTACTTTTTTAACTTCTCTTTCTCCTCCTCCTCCACCTCTTTCCCCCCCCCCCCCCCCCCCCCTTTCCCCTCCCCCCCCCCCCCCCCCCAATTTTGCAGTTTGTCTGGGTAGTAAACACATGTGTGCATGCACACTCACTTGTTCACTTGGCCAGTGCTAAGTATCACTCAGCTGGGGTTGGTGGTGCCTGTAACGGAAAAGAGTATTCAACTTTCCTTTCCACTTGCCCCACCCTTGCAGGAGACTCTTGTGGGTTTTTTTTTTTTTTTGAGATTCTGCCAGTGTCTTTCATGAGTGCATAAACTACGGAGCTGCCTGCTTTTAATGATCTGTTCTTGATTTTAGCAGCTGTTGGTTCCTGTTACACCTCTTAGCCTAAATGGCAAGAGGCTAATGCTGACTAAACCTAGTGTATGAAAGGGTAGTCCTGTTCAATTTCCTTCCCTCCATCCCTTCCTTTTCCTCCCTGTGTGAAGGAACAGTATAAGGATCCTCCATGAATCCGCCATCTTCCAGATCCCTGACTGGGAGAGAATCTTTTGAAACAAGTTCAGCCTGTATTATTGTTCAGCACAATTCCTTCTGCATTTGCAGAGGTAGACACAGCTTAGTAACAGCAACTGATAATCATGTCCTCAAAACAAGCTACTTGGATAGCAGCTTGCAGTTCTACAGTACACTCCAAAGCTACCCTCATCTTTAGTAGGGAGCGAAGGCCCATGGCCCCTACAGTCCTGGTGTTTGGTTCTACCTAGGTCCAAATAGCTGGACTACTGAGATTGGGCACTGCATACTGGCCTCACCTGTATATTAAAACAGTGGCTACAATGTCCATATAGGATTCCTGGCAAACTACCAGTGAAGCCTGAATTGGGCAACGCATGGATGTCTTCTGCCTCAGATGTTTTGAGCAATGCGGCACACTACAGCTTTTTTTTTTTCCTGTATCAGATGTAATCTACAACATATAAACACTAGAAATGCTGGAACCATGAAACAATCTGTTAACTAGGCTCTGGATTTGTTGATTAGATGTTTAAATAAAGCTATATTTAACCTAGGAACTCTGTTTATAGAAACACTTTTACGAAAGGTGTACATTCTGCCTTCCTTACTTTGGTTTATCATGAAAAAAAATCAAACAACCCAAAAGAATAACATGGTCAGCCCTTGCTTGGACAGTTTCCTGGCTTCTACTTTGTCCAGAGAGAAGGTGCTACAAAAAAAAAAAAATCTCCTCTTCTGGATGATAGACTTTCACTTCTAATACATTAGTTTATGCTGAAGTCATGCCAGGAGTGGGGATGGTGCTGAAAGGGTGAGGAAAGGCTTTACTTGCACCAAAATACACTGCTTCAGAGCAAACTGGGGCCTGGAAGTACTGGTGCTGGTACTTCTTGGGCAGGTACTTACCCTAGTCATGCTAATGTTTTGGATTAAGGAGGAGTGCAGAAAACCTGCTGCAATGAATTTAAGTCCATTTGCTTAGACTGAGCTGCCACAGACAGAGCTACAGAATGACTTTGACTTACCTCCTTATAGACAAGGACCTCTTGGATGGGGAGAAAAGTTTCTTCCCCACTTTGTGCCAAATGAAGTGATGGAATGTAGTGTTTGCAAAGCTTTATTGAGCACTAAGTCAGTTCTGGGACTCTGATTAGGACCCCATCTCTGCTAAAGCAGTTGGGGAATATGGTTGTAGGACAACCTAAAAGCTGTAGCATGGACAGGACTAAATTAGGCATTAGATCTTGCAGTTTTAAGCTTGCATTAGAACAGGGGTGGGTTTCTTTGCTCCCCTTAACTCTTGTATCTGGGCTCTAATTCTTTTGGCTGTATGTTCAGTGGCCTCTTAGTTGTATAGAACAGCATTTTGTATAACTAGGCCTGAGGTATCTGTAGAAGCACTCAGTATGACCTACAGAAAGTATGCTTCAAGATTGGTAGAAATCTGCAAGTCTCTTGCTGTACAGCATAGTGTTTAATTCATCCTGCTAGAAATGGAACAGTCTAGTTTAAAGCAAAAAACAGACCCTTATTTACTAACTGCTCAATGAGAAAAAAATATTTGCCCTACATTGTATCCAGCGCTATCAAGCAACTGTAAGACAGGTCAGTATTGATTATGCATGGAAACACTAGCTTTTAGCTGCTGCTTGAATATTCAAGCCCAGTATTTCAATCAGGGCTGCTACAGATACAAGCTTAGATAGCTCTCCCATATGGCAAAATCAGAATGAATAGAGGTTTTGAAAACTTGTTTTACTGGAAACCAAGGCTGTATTTAAATACAAAATACCTTGCAAGAAAGCTCCATGTATTATGTACACTAAATGTGAATTAATGAATTGGCTGAGATGTAGTTTTTCTCTTCCCTCCAGCAGAAATGGTATCAAAAGATCAGGTCACACTAAGTGAGGTGACGAAGGCTTCAGAAAATATCAAGCATAGGGTCAAAACTAAGAGGTGCTGAGCACTCACAGCTGCTCAATCCTTCTCTAGAACTTGACCTGTATGTAGCAGGGTGAGTCGATCCTTCCCTGTTTTCTCTTGGCCACTCGACCCTCGAGTGGTACAGCTCCTTTGCGCAGCTCCTTTCCTATTCATAACCTACTCGGTCACAGCTTATCTTTTCCAGGGGCTGTCAAGTTGAAGCTAAGCTTGGCTGACACTGGCCAGTACACTCTGAGGAAAACTGTTCAGGGTAAACGGACCGTCATCAAGGGCCTCATCAGTGTTTTGTCTCCTCTTCCTGGCAGTGGCAGTAACAGCCAGGATGATGTGTGTTAGCTGCTTAAACCATAGAGCAACTTTATCTCAAGCCAAATTTCTCCTAACCACGCAACTGTGTCAACTGCATGCCACGGTAGATCTCGGGCAGAGCCGTGCCATGTTAGGAGCCAAAGTGCTAAGCTTTTTAGTGAACAGAATTCTAGTTTTCATGGTAGGTGGCCACAGTATTTAAGTTGCAATTAATTCATTTGAATCAACTTCCGTAATGGGAATTGAATCTGTTAAGTGTGTTGAATCTCACTGTACTTTTGAAACTATGCACTGGAATGTTGTTAGATTTTTTTTTTTTTTTTTCCTTCTGCTAATTACCGGTTGGTTTATAGTTAACTCAGCAGCTGGAACTAATTTACTATGCCAGTCTAAACTGTTACGCAGCTGTTGCAAGTATTCATTATGTGTTTCTATTTTGTATTAATTTTGTCACTCCCCTAAAACATCCTACCTCAGTACCTTTTTCTCTCATCACCTGTCCTGTGCTCCATTTAACTCACTTTCCATTCAACTTTAATTAAACCAAACTCTCAGTGTTTATCAGCATGGATAATATTATAAAGTAACTTTTTTGTTTCTGAACCACATTACGGTCCTCTGTTTTTGTTCAAACAGAAAAGAATAGGGAATCTGAAAGCAGCAACATGTCCTACATGTTTTGCATTGGATGAGGTATGTGAAAAACAGGCTCACGTTTTACTGGATTCGGTGAGATTTGAGGTATTTATAAAAGGGAAGAGATTTTGCATCTTTTTATTCATTTCCTTTCAGTGAATAAATCTTTCAAAATTTCCATTATGTCTTTGATTCCCAAACTCTTCTGAATCTCTGCAGAGTAAGGATGGGTCGTTCTTGTGCAGGAGATGGAGTGCTTGCTTTACAGATGCATTAAAGTGATTTCTCCACTGAAGAGTTTACAGGCCATGTTAATTGCACTAAAAAGAGTAAAGCCAGCTATTCTTCTGATTTTTTTTTTTTTCACCCTATTTTCAGTCAATGAAAGAACTGTCAAATGCTGGCGTACTGTTCTCTTCAGCAAAGAACAACATGTTGTACCTTAAATTGTAGCATCATCTAGTTTGGGATGCTAGTGCTTGAAGAGTGGTTGAAGAGATGTTACTATTGCTCATAATTATCATTTCCATTTTGAAGCCTTAAAACATTTCTAAATTTGAATTTGACATTTGAGGTATTTGGTTATATAGTGGACTCTACAGACTTTGCATTTAGGATTTCTAGAAATGCACTTTTCCCTTTCACCCCTATGTTTTCAGAAACCTGTATGAACTGGGTAGCTGTGTTAATCTCCCTTGTTTAGAGGAAACTTGTGGGGTTTGTGAAGAGAAGTCTCACAGGCCTGAGACTGGGCAGTCATCTTGTACCACTGCCATGCATCTCTTTCCTCAAGACATTACTCGCGGTGTAAACACTATTCACTCCCTACTGCATTGACAGGATTGTGGCTTGGTGCGTGCGTGTGTTACTCACACCTTAATGTAACATTTCAGAATCATGAAATTAAACTCTAAATGTTGGATTATGTTTGGGCAAGTGACCAACAGCACCTCAAATACTGAAGGCTGCTATGTTTTCTTTGAAAGACTTGTAAGACTGGACATCTTAATAGAATAAAAGTTTTAATTTCTACTTTCCTTTCTATGTTTTTTGCTTAAAGTACATTGGTTGGTTAACAAGGCATTTTAATATTCAAGACCACTCCCCAGAAGGAAATACTGATGACTTCTGTAGTTGTGTAGGATTATGGGTCACAAATCTTCCCTCAATGCATAGCCTTCACGGATTGGGAGGAAATGTGAAGTTTAACAAGTAGGTATATTTGCACAGAGAAAAAGTTTCCAACCTCATGTTGACGATCTGTCTAATGGCCATGGTGAGCTGGTTACACAGCCTTTTACATAACTTTGATTTTTTTTATCCTAAAAGCTGAAATAATTAATTTTTGAATAATTGATTTTTATAGTGAATATAGAAATGTTAAGTGGCATTAAGAACACCAACTTGGACTTTTAGGATGGGATTTCTGAAACCACTCTGATCTCTCTTCCCCACTGACTTCAGTCCCTTTCCCTTTCATAGGGAAGGACAGTTAAAACAAGTGCCAGTTGTCATTAAAATACTACCAACTAGTTAGTTGCTTTAGTATGCATCATACCATATATCTGACTGCCTAAACTTTGTGCTTTGTTGTCTTACACTATCCTCTCTGGCTTCAGAAGCCAGTATATGCTACACTTCTTGCAAAATGTATACATACCAAGAAGATAAATGAGAGCTAAACTAACAATTCAGCCAGTATCTTTCAAAGACGGTTCAATTCACTCCACACAGTCTCCTGTGCATATAATACATCTTCCAGTATTTTGCCCTGTTTCCTTTGCACAACAGCTTTCCTTTCTTGACAAGACTGTTCTTACCCCCTACCAGCAGGCTGGCCCAGTTTTGTGATGGTGGATGTGCAGAGTTTGTGCAATTACACTGGGATGAAAGGTAACACAGGAAAAAAATCTATTTATTATTCATTTGTGGTGTTGTGTTTTACCCAAATGCTTAGAAGCATAATTGAGTGGAGAAAGTGGGAAGACAAAAACTCCTGTCTTTGTTGTAAAGCTCCTATTGGGCTTGCGTTCTTCTGGCAGCCATTATCTCTTTATCCACAACTCTGTGACTGAATAAAAATGGGAAAGAATAAAACATCCCACGTTAAAAAACAACTTCTACCAGCAGAAATCCTGGAGGCCTGCAATGCAGTGATATGGTAAAGAACCTTAGAGGAATCTGAAGCTGTCTACTGCAGAATAAAATGTGTGTGTGGGGGGGGGGGGAGTCTTGTTTTTGTTTTTGTTTTGTTTTTTATACAGCAAAATACATTTCTAGCAGGATTTTAGATCGGGATACTAAGCACAGACTGATTTGACTTTGGAAACAGCTTGAAGGAAACCCTGTATACCCACCTGGTGCTTACCTTACATAAACTGAAGTGAAAACTATGTGCATGTTGGCTGTGCTAGGATTTTACATTTAGAAGGCTATTTCAGTGGAGAAACATGCTACCTTTTGCAGAAGATACGGTCTGAGAGGAAGAGCTGCTGCAAGCCGTAAATATAATCAAATTAATATCTTTTAAAAAAAGAAACTAAGTCCTTTGTAACATTTTACATTTTCTAGCCTTTGTTAATACCACCAAACTCATTGTTCGGCACACCACTGTCGTCTTTCCCCGCTACTACTTTAGGGGCACAGCTGGCTCCTATGGTGCTAGCGCCTAGAGTTGATTTTTGACTGTCCCTGGCTGAAATATTCACTTACCCAAGACTCTTGGCAGCCCAAGCAGCCAGCATTGAACAGATTAGCTAGCTCCCCCCCTCAGCACGTTTAATCGGCTTTCCTGCAACCAGAATCAGTGGGAATTATTAATGTAACATTGGTGAGGAAATGAGGATAATCTTTTGAGTCAAAAAGGTATTTGAAAGGTTCTTTCCTGACTTGACTGATCCTGCACCATGTTCTGAAGTCAGCTGGCCTCTCCCATATCTTAAAAGGATCTCATGCATATACACAGGGGTGATATGAGCATTACTTAATTAAAAGTATTTTAGCAGCATCAGATGGAAGATGCTCATATGAGTGCCAAGACATTTCATGGGTGGCAGTTGGGAGAGAAAATAGTGCAGGTTTCTTCAGCTGGATTTGTGGGACCAGACTACTGCTTGTTGGTAGAGTACTACCAGGGTAGCATAGCGGTTCTCAACCTTTTTAGACTTGAGGCACCCCTCAGAAAATGGCAGCTCTTTAGTTGTCACTCATTTTTTATTATGGAAAAATAATAGAGCAATTAATCTCCTGGAAAGAACTTGGATCACAACAGGTCAGAGTGTTTTCAACATTGAATTCATATTTGATCTCTCTAGCTGTGTCCAGATGAGCATGGGTGTTTGGTTCCCAGGGAGCAAAAAGCAGCAGCTGCTGCTACTTGTCCCTGGGGAATGCCAGTGCCATGGGCCATGCCCTCTGGTGAATAGCACGTTACCCTGGGTAGGGTAGGGTAGGTTCAGGCCACCAACTGCTGATCCCAGTCACCTTACCTGGTGTCCTGGGGAAGCTGCAGCTGTGGCACTCCTGCAGCCTGGAACCTGGCTGGCAGCTGGAGCATGGCTCTGGCGAACCAGGCACTGGTTTTGGGCAGTGTGCGCTGTATCTGTGTGCTGCCCTGCTTTTTTTCTGCGTGGATGTCTTTTGACCCGAAGATCTCCAGGGGTCAACCCCTCACCTTGCAAGGTAGCAAGGAAACGTGCAGGAAACACCTGAATGTGTGGTATGTGGCACCGCACACAGGCTTGCAGTGCCACATACTGCATGGCTGCGCTTGTCTGGACACAGCCTCTGGGTTTGCTTTGTGAATCATGTTTGCACATCTATCAGTGCTAACATTGTGTGGCATCCCAAAGCACCCCTGAAAAGACCTCGTGGCACCCAGACTGAGAATCACTGAGGTAGCAAATGGTGGTAGCTGCTCACATGCATCCAGTGGTAGGGCTGGGGCCTTAATGAGGCCAACTGGTGCTGGCCAGCTGCTGCTTCATGGGTTAAATTTCTGAGAGGGGAAATGTTCTACTAAGATAAAACAGTTCCTTTAATCACAGTAAATTCTCACTTATGGCATACTGTCTGGGCTAGGTCTGCTTCTAGTAACTTTTAAACATGAGGCTCCCTGTGAAATTTATGGAACCCAGACTGTTTTTTTTCCCCTAAACTAATTCTCCCCCTAGCGTTCCCGTCAGCTAAACGCAACTTTCCGCTCTTGTATCTCCTAGAATAATTAAAGGGACACTGACAATTTGAGGGGGAAACAATCCATTGCTGCTTGAACATAATGTTGACCTTCCAAGGCTACAGTTAAAACCCAAGCTTGCTCTAGTTGAGAGGGATGGACAAAGATGTACTTCACTATGTTTCTTTAGCTCGCTTACGATATTTTATGCAGGAGTTGGGGGCAGTTTCACCTTTGCTCAAACCCTATTTTAACATCAAGTGGAACAGGGGAAAACAATGCTGTTTGACAGTGAATCTTGCAGTATTTGAAGATGTGCTTTTTGAAAACCTGTGTTGCAAGTGTCAACGATTACACAGGAACCCAAGTTTAATTTTTAATAACCAGCAAATTCCTGGTCTTCATGGGTGTGGCAAAACTTGAAAACAATCTTAAACGTTTTAAAAAGAGAGATGAGAAATTAGAAGTAATAAATTGAGTGGAATTTTTTTAAGTCTCCTGATTTTTATTTTTTGAATGCCTATGATGTTGGCACTTCTAAGGACTTCTCTCTCTCTCAACCTATTTTATAAAGAGGACTGTAGCCAAAGCTGCTTTCTTTAAAAATTATTTTGAGAGAGAAGATTTTACAGTGCACCTTTGCAAGGCATGCAACAACAGGCAAGTATCATATATTAAGACTCGTCTTCATATATGCATTTCATACCCTTAATTTCTTAGCTCTTATGGGTATTTTCTGGAATATTTTCCTCCATAAGCCCAACCTTCCTTCCCTGTCTTCTGTCCTTGATCATGTGCTGCTGTGAAAGGCTCACATAGGTGAAAAGTTGCAGGTTCCTTTGGTGAAACTCTTCCATGTTTTCTACAGGATCCCAATGCATTTGAATAAATAGCTTAAAATCTTCTCTTTTGACACCCATTGCATGCTGAAGAGTACCCACAGGAGGTCAAGCATTTATTGTTTATTTGTTTGGTTTCTTTAGTTTAGATACTTAAGTTTCTCTGGTTCCTCATTTCCAGTATGAATTGGAGTCCCCGTGTCCTGTTCACGTGCCCACTTGGTACGAAAGGGCTGTGTGGGTGTTGTGCAACTGAAACTAAGCCAGCCAAAGAGCAATAGAAATAAATAAATAAAAACACCAGAATTGCTTCATAAGAAATGTGCTGAAGCTTCAGGAACCTTTCCTCACTGCTAACATCCTCAGTTTAAGCATTGCTCTGGCCCGTGCTATTAAACTTCATTGAGTTGCACTCAGTCCCATGTGGACTGCATTGGCAATGAGCAAAGAACACTGCAGGGTGCTTGGATTCCCACATATGCTACCTCTCTTAGTGGACTTTAGATCTCTTCATCCCACTGCTGTCCTTTGCACTTACAACTTTTTCTGCATTTGTCACCTTTCCACTGCTGGAGTCCTTAATTCAACTCACTGACTTTCTTGGAGGTGAAGGCTGAGCTGAGTTTCTGATTAAATTACACAATCTTTCCACTTAAAAGTTCCTTTGCTTGGGTTTTTATGTGCGTGCCTTATTTCTAAATTGCATAAAATAGAGAGTCAAACCCAAAACTCCCTCAAAAGGGACCCCTGATTGCATAATCTGAATTCTCTGTGTTCTGTCCCCTATCACATGGTGCTGGAAAGGTCACATGGAGAGTTAGCTGTACAGAGAGGAGCTGCCATACTGTTCCTGTAAACTGAATGTGTGCTTCTGATGGCATTTGTAACGGAGCAACAGATCCGAAAGGTAAGTGAGCAGATTCAAGAACTACATCTGGGGAGACAAGCTTGTGTGCCTTCAACAGGTAACAGTGCTGAGTTTGTCAAGGGAACCAATCTAATTGCTTAACCAGTACTTGTGTTTAGCACAGATTTACTTATGAAACACATTATAGTCTATTCACTTTCTAGTACTTTACGCACCACTGTAACACCTGAACGTCTTATTGGGGCTCCAGAAAGGTAGAAATTCAATAGAACAAACTATCTCAAAGCTCGCTCTCTCTCTCCCTTCTGCCTGTCTCTTTCCTTGTAGCTCAGATCTGCCTCTTATAGAAAACTCAGGAGATTATCCTCTAACAGGCAACAGTTCCAAATGTCTGCTGTCCAGGGAGTTAATTTCATTTTATGAAGGATCAATCATCCATGAGAAACTGAATTCTCACCTTGGAGGGTGCACATTTTCCAATACATGGATACATTTTGAAGCTCAGTGTGACTGCATTACTCATTTAAGGAATGTGTGTTTAGCAGTTTACTAAGCTGATTCCTTTGGAGATGATTTGAAGTCATGATGTCAGTAACAAATGTGTATCCCATCTGTTTCATAGAGTCTGCTGCACTGAATTGGAATTGCTCTCTCCCTAACCACAGGGGCTGTATATCTATTCCTGAATAATTTTTCCCTAAAAGGAAATCGTTTGCTCTTTAAAAGCAAAAATACAGATATTACTGCTTTAGGAAACTAATTAGCTGAAGATAAAAATGCAACTGAATAAAACTGTTTTGGTGCAGTTAAAGGGAGTGGAAATGTATGCAATATTAACAAATGCACATTGAACATGTCTATGGCTTGAAGAAGTTTACTAAACCATAAGCTTTGCTCTTCTAATTAGAGGGGATCTCCAAAGGCAGATGTTCCTTTGGCTCTACATCTAAATGTTAGATGACAAGCGAAGGCTAGGTGGGTATTCCTACCCTAACGTAACTGCTTTGTGCTGTTTCCTAGTTCCATGAAGATGGCTTCCTTGTCCTGGAAGAGTTTTTCACCACAGAAGAATGTGATGCTATGAGGAAGCAGATCCACAAGATCATAGCTGATATGGAAGTACCATCCCACTGTCGCACAGAGTTCTCCACAAAAGAGGAGGAGCAGCTCCAGGCTCAGGTACAGAATTTAAGTTGAAGCTGTTCTGATTGAAGGAAGAAGGAAAAAATTAACTTGCAAAATACTCCTTTGAGTAGCAAGGGGCCAACATTTTTAAACTAAATATTCCAAAACCACAGGTTTGTTCTTGGAGAGTGAATCCTATTTGAGGGCAAGGCTGAAAGCCAGATATTCCTGAGCTGTAATCCTGCTTCTAATAAATGGGCCTCTGCGGCTGTAGACAGCTTCTTGTTGGTCTCAGCAGAGGCCAAGAGAAGGCTGAGACAGCCTGAACTCCGTTTTTAGATGCAAAGTGATCCCCAGTGGAAGAGAAGCGTGTGAGAAACAATAGTACCAATACAGGCTCTATTTGTTCCACAGATACAATGCTGTTAAACCACCACTCACGCCCTAATACAAACCCAGAGGATATATTGTTCTTGGGATCTTGAAAACTGCAAACTAGAGTTAAGAGATTTAATACAGTGAAAAACCTCAATACATATGACTTATGTTTGTATTCTGCCTTATTTCTGCTGCTCACTTGGTGGGGAAAAGATGCAGGTAAGTGCTAACTTCTTACTAGAAATACTCACATAGATCCTTATTAAGACATTATTGCTGGGTCTCTTATCTCTGACAGGGCAGCACGGATTATTTTCTAACCAGTGGAGACAAGATCCGATTCTTCTTTGAGAAAGGAGTTTTTGATAAGAAAGGTAAATTTTTCCTTAGCAGCAGCCATATCAGGCTGGTAGAGGGTGGGAAGAAAACAAGCAACTTGCTAGCAAGCTAGGGATTTTGTTACAGAGACAAAAAGACTAAGTGAGTAGAAAGAAAAGCTCTACATTCTATTGCTTTGTTCTGTTTTTTTCTGCATACTCTTTAACTCAGGATTTTGTTTCTTAGGTGAATTTCTTGTTCCAAAGGAGAAATCTGTAAACAAGGTTGGCCATGGTATGTATGAGTAGTGATGTTTTAGACCGAACATAAGGTTGCATTTTTTTTTTCAAACCAAGCCATTGCTTCAAGAGCTGGCTGGAGTGCATAGCCTTAATCCATTTGGATTTGAATTGTATACAGCAGTTGCCTTGTACACGGTAGCACCCTTCCCTATGCTCTGCTCTTTCTTGCCACATTCCTCCTAGTCCACTGAATCCACTGATACAGGGATCTTCCTTTTGGCACTATGGCCATGTGACTCTTTTTTTTTTTTTTTTAGCCCAGTACTCTCTCTCACCTTTGCTTCCTGCAAGTTGTTTTTTGCTTCACCTCTAGGTACAGAAAAGTTAATTTTCCCTGATCTGACCCCTGAAAGAGCTCTACAGCTGTGACCAGACACAAGTGCACGGCTGCTTTAAAAGGGCCCAGTCCTGTGACAATCTGAACTCTCATTGCATGAAGGTTCAGAAGATGATGCTCCAAAACAGACTGCTTTCATTAATGTGTGTGTGCGCTGAGGTGGGGAGGGGGGGCCTCCAATACACCAGCCCCACCCTCTAGTGCCAGCTGAAAAAATCCTAGATTGACCTCCTTCCCCCCCCCCCCCCCCCCCCTCTCC